AATCTACCTGAACAAAAACCTCCCTTAAACACAGTAGCCACCTTCAGTGAAACATTTCCAAGAACAGACATTAAAGCAGGATTTAGTGACATGATTCGTTAGCAGGTATAAAAAAGGAGAAACAAGGGGAGAGTTTAATTGCGTTCCGTGTAACCGAGATGATGAAACCATTAAACAGGCGAGCATGTACACGTGCTTGAGACCAGGCTGCATCGTCAGCCAGTGGTATAAGCACGGTATTAACGCGACACGTGTTACGCGTACGGAGTACAGTCAGCCGTGTTTGCCAGGCGATCGTAATACCTCGTCACCTGTTATTTATTGTGCCTGTAACAAAGCAGTAAGGCGATACGTTCTCTTCGTACGAGGAAATACGCGTGCCAGAGAGAGAATAAAGGGGTTCGTATTCGACGAAACGTGTAGGAACGTCGTAAACGTCGGCTGACGGTTAGCCTGCGACTTTCACTCGGCAATAAGCGACGAATAAAGATGGTTATTGTTCGTGGCTGACATGCAAGAACGCGTCGAAGGAACGACAGTGAACATCGCGTTCCTTTAAAACGTTCCTCCGTCATGCACGAGGATTTTATTCTCAAAGAGGTTTTTATTTGTGCGCGATGTTATGTGGACGTTGGAAAATTTGCTTATTGGAATTGCAGGTAAATAAATTATATTTTATTACTTCGTATTAATTTATTTTATTATCGATTAGGTTTCAGAGATACGAATTTTAACGTAAATTCGAATGTTTTGCCGGAAAGGCTGCGTGAAATAATCCCTTTGGCATTTTAAATTCCCGTGCGAGTTTTGACATTTCACTCGTGAATCCGTTTAAGCTTGTGAATTTTAAAATACGAATCTTTCAGTTGTTTAAATTGATATTTCCAATATTACAAATTCGTGTATGTATCTCGCGGTATACACGTTCGTACGAGTTTCGAAGAATCGCTCAAGGGAACTATTTTGAAAGCATATCTTTGTATCTACAAATATATCTTTTTCATCGTTTGAATGGAAAATTCCGATACTACAAGCTTACGTACGTGTTCCGAAATTTCGTTTTAATTGATTGCTTTGCAATTCTACGCGTTCGCGTATGTTTCGTAAAATTGTTCGAGTAAAATTATTAAATAACTGTTTCGACGTTATAAATCCAAATGTGAATTCTTTTATCGCTACATAATCAAAATTGATTCGCATACACTAACGAACAAATACCAAAATAATTAACTGGAAAAGAAACTGGCACAACATCGTAAATCTGCTCTTATTTGTCCGATAAAGTAGAAAGGATGTGCAATTACAGGACGTCTGAGTAATTAAACGAAACGAAGACATGCGCCAATAAGCAGTTTCATTTAAAATTCAAGAGCGCGTTTTCCCTGCCGTATCTAGTACGGATAAGTATACCGGATAAGTAGTACAGGTATACCTGTATACGGGCAAGTAGAAGAGGTCAACATCTGTGCAAGTAAAGCGGTAATGTACCGACAGGCGAAGAGAATAATCCCGTATCGAGTCAAACACGATCTACATCCACCTGACCTGGCAGGATATAGTCTCGCATGGGGTTCTATGACGCTTGTAGATTGTACATATGTACATATGTACGTATTCAAACGACGTTCTAGACTTTGTAAACAGAATATTCGCGTATTTCGACGAGCAAGTAGAATAAGTTCGCTCGTGGACGGATAAATATGTATCAGGTCTTATCAAATTATTAGAATCTTTCAGATATTATTCAAATATCTTTATTTTAATATTAATATATTAATATCGATGAAAGATTCGTCGTGAGACTATTTACAATTGTTATTTTTCATTGTTTGCATTATTACATTGAAATTTGGTTTTTCGTAGATTTTTAAGATTAGAACTTTTATATTTTTTGTTTTTTATAGTTTACATTAGTATTCTTTATAATAATGTTATTATGATAATTAATACGCTAAAGATTCGTCATAATTAGACCGAGGGCTTTCATGCATTTATGGGAAATTAGGAAATGGAAAATTATGTAGACTGTACGTAATATGAAAAAATATACATTTCATGTAATATAAATATACATATCATAAAGATAATATGTGATACATGAAACAATTTTCACGTTGTATGAAAATATACAAGATATCCAAAATATAATATGTGACAGGTAGAACCATTTTCTATTATATTTTCGAAAATATGAATTTCCATAAAAATCCGTCATTTTAGTCATAAGATTTTTTATATTCTATGTTTCATTATTTACATTATTATTTTTTGTAATAATACATTATCCTCCTAACTGAATCTAAATTTTTATATATTTTGTTCCTTTGTTATTTATGAAAACGACGAACAATAACAAATAATTTATTTTTATGAACGATCATGTTGAAAACTTAAGTTTCCAAGTTTACATTTCGGAGATCAATTCTTTACGAAAACGTCCAAACAAGAGCTTTATTCGATCAGAACTTTTGATCGGAGTAAACTTTCCAAGAAAAGTGCCCCTATTCTTCTTTCCCCATTGAGGAATAACTTTCTTCTTAACGTATTGGGAACTTCTTCTTAATCTAAATTTTTGTACCACTCTACCGTAAAAGTCATCGATAACAACCTGATTGGTTTATTAAGAGCGAAAACTTATCTGCGATTCTTAAAAACTATATTTTAATTAGAAAATACCATCAAGTTGAGAATTGTCGTCGTTATTTTGCAAAATACGTAAAAATTCCGAAAATTCCAAGAATTCTCCAAATAATTAGAAGAAAAAGATGAATTAACACCGAGAGAAATGGGCGGTTCGTTGTATCCTATTAATGAATCTGTAAATTATTCTCATTAACAAATATAATTACTTACGATGTTTTGATTCTTTTTAATTTAATCCCAAACCTTTTCTAAAATATATTTGAAACGAATATTAGCAAGCAGGAACTCTAATATTCGCAGCATTTAAAATGAAGATATTAAATGTCTAGTGGCTAAAAATACACATTAGAAAAATAGCAATACAACGAGTCAATAAATTCATACGACCTAATCGTTAGAAGTTTACTTAAAAAAGAATAATCTACAAGATAATAAATTCATATTGTCTAATCGTTAAAAATATACTCTGCGTTCTTTAATTACAAACGTACATTTAATGAAACAAGTAGAACAACTAATTTGCAAACCGAATAAATTGCACATCTTCACGCGCAAGTAGTACGAGTCCATACATCATCAGACAAGTACAAAATTCTGTTTCTCGTTTAAGTAACACGTCCATCGAGTCAAACAGACATCACAAGTGCCATTATTTATCGTAACGTGTTCGAAAAACACGAAAAAGACAATCGAAAACGTTTCTTCCGTTTAAAAAGAAAAGAAAGAAACGAAGAAATCTCCCTTGTCATAAAATTACAAACGATTCACGGTTTAATGTCTCGCTGAAACAAAAGCGTGTAAGACTCGCTGAAGTTGGACTTTACAGGCGACAGTTGCGGCGAAACGTCGCGTTATGAAGTTTGCGGTCGCTTCCAGTGAACGACGAAACAGAAACTTTCTCTGTTCGGTGAATGTTGAGAGTCTGCGAATCCATGCGTAATTTCGCCTTTTCTTAATTAAGGATTCCTCTTTCACTGGCCACATTCTAACGAATTCACGCTCCCGAGAATGAGAATATGAAACTATGAACAATTTTCTCTCTCTGGGTATAATGAAATTTATTCCTTTTTATGTGGCTTTTTATTTAGTAAGAGCCTTTGAATATATCAGGTGTATACGAAAGTAATGACCGTGTTTCTTGTTGCTACCGACTTAAAGTTAGCGGCTGTTGCTTTCGTATACGCTTAATATGTAGCTATTGGGTTGGCAACTAAGTGATTGCGGATTTTGTCATTAGA